GAAGATCAGGAGTTTGAGACCAGCCTGGCCAACATAGTGAAACCCTGTCTCTACTAAAAAAAAAACAAAAAAATACAAGGACTAGCTAGGCGTGGTGCTGTGCGCCTGTAATCCCAGCTACTGGTGAGGCTGAGGCAGGAGAATTGCTTGAAGCTGGGAGGCGGAGGTTGCACTGAGCCAAAATTGCACCATTGCACTCCAGCCTGGGCAATAGAGTGAGACTCCGTCTAAAAATAAAATAAATTAAAAAAGAATTTTTGAATGTCCTTCACACAGATTCCCCAAACGAACATTTCAGTTTGTTCTATAACTCCCCTTCTACCCGTCTCTTTCTGTTCCCCTCTCTCTGACTCTTGCCTAATCAACAGACTTCATATGCATTTCACAAATGGTCCCCGTAATATTCTTCAGAGCAAAAAAACAGTGTTTTTTTCCTAGTCCAGGATCCAATCTAGGATACATGTTGCCTTTAGTTTTCAAGTCTCTTGAGTCTCCTTTAATCTACAACAGTTCTTCAGTCTTTTTTGTCTTTCATGACCTTGACATTTTTGAAGAGTACAGGCCATTTATTTTACAGAATGTTCCTCTTTGGGGCTTGTCTGATGTTTATTCCTTGTTAAATTCAGGTTATACATCTTTGGCAGGAGTGTGCAGAAGTGATGTTGTGTCCTTCTCAGCCAGTGTTTGTTCTAAACCCTTTTGACTAGAGCCCCCTGAAGCATTATGTGCATAGATGCATTTTTTTTTTTTCCAGGCAAAGGGATTAAAATCTCTTATATACAATTCTCAGAGGGCTTACACGACCTAGTAAGAGCCAAGACATGGCCGGGCGCGGTGGCTCATGCCTGTAATCCTAGCACTTTGAGAGGCCGAGGCGGGTGGATCACCTGAGGTCAGGAGTTCAAGGCCAGCCTAGCCAACATGGTGAAACCCTGTCTCTACTAAAAATAGAAAAATTAGCCAGGCGTGTTGGCATGTGCCTGTAATCCCAGCTACTCGGGAAGCTGAGGCAGGAGAATCGCGTGAACCCTGGAGGCAGAGGTTGCTGTGACCTGAGATAGCGCCGTTGCACTCCAGCCTGGGCGACAAGAGTGAAACTCTGTCAAAAAGAAAAAAGCCAAGACATTCCACATTTGTCCTTGCAGGTCTTGGTGGAAGTCCTTGGTTAATAGGGCCGTCTGAAAGAGGCTAGGAGACAGGCACCGAGAGTGGGGGAGAAGAGGTTTCTGCATCACTTTACAGGCTCCACGACCTTCTGGGACCTGCCTGTGCTGCCCCAGGGAATTTATCTAGTGTGCCATGCAAACAGATATCCCACCCTCCAGCTTCCTTGGCCCAAGTTTATTGAGGGAATTTACCATTTATGAAGTCTTGGTGGATCAGAACATAAATGGTGGAATCTGGATGGTCTATGTTCACTTCTTTCTCCACCGCTTCCTAGCTGGGAAAGCTTTGGCTTTAACCTTCCTGCATCTCACTTCCTTCATCTGTAAAAGGCATGTAAGAATAGTCAGAAGGTCAGGATGAAGTAAGTTAAGTTAAATGAGGTAGCACATATCACTCTTAGAATCATGCCTGGCTCATCATGTGGGCTCATTAGCTCATAGATCTCACCTTCTGTAGGTTCACTTGATGACATCACACTTTGTGTCTTCCTATAGATTTGCTTGTGCTATTTGTTAGACCATTCCTAGAAAGCAGAGGCCCTTGGGTTTTCGTGGGCTACTCTGTTGACAGAGGGAATAAATTTCACTGATCATTGAGTGATCATTGAATTCTGGTCGCCTAGGACATTGGAGTGGGGGTGGAGGGGACTTTGTTGAGACCATATCACAAATTTCTGGTGAGCCCAGTAGAACTAATACCTTCTCAAAGCAAGATTCTGTAAAACACAGTGAATCAGAATGGAACTTCACATACTTGACAAGCTCTGTTGTATGCTGATAGAGGTGGTTCAGAGAGTTGTTGAAAGACTACCCTAAAGTCCCTCCCAGCCAGTAGAGAGCTTCTTTGGCAGGGTTACCTGGCTTGAAGCCCAGCCTTGGTGACACCTACCATGTCAGTATAGCTCTGTACAACTGTGGTAGTCAGAATAATGACTCCCTGAAGAAGTCCACACCCTGATCTCTGGAACCTGTGAATATGTCACCTTACACGGCAACAAGAACTTTGCAGATGTCATTGATCTTGAGATGGGGAGATAGTCCTAGATTACTTAGGTGCACTCAATGTAATCACAAGAGTTCTTATAAGACGTAAGTAGGAGGCTCAGAATCAGAGAACATGTGATGACAAAAGAAGAGGAGGGAGGGAAGGAAGGAGGCATGGGCCAGAGAAGAGAAAGATGCTACACTGCTGGCTTTGAAGACAGAAGATGGGGCCACGAGCCAAGGAAAGCAGGTGGCTCCTAGAAGCTGGAAAAGGCAAGAAAACAGATTCTCCCCCAGGCCCCCCAGTCCGGATCCATTTTTGACTTTGGACTTTCTTCTCTCCAGAAGACTAAATAAATATATGTTTTCCTTTCCTAATTTTACCATGGCTTTCTTTTTTCCCTTTTGATAATTAAATCTTTAACCCAATTAAAGTCAGTTTTGATGCATGATGTCATGGGTAGGTGTAATTAGATTCTTTCTCCCTTTTAATAATTAAAACTTTAATCCAATTAAAATCAGGTTTTTTTTGTTTTTTTTTTTTTGGCGATTTGTTTTGTTTTGTTTTGTTTTTTTGAAACAGAGTCTCGCTGTTGCCCAGGCTGGAGTGCAGTGACACGATCTCAGCTCACTGCAACCTCTGCCTCCCGGGTTCAAGCAATTCTCCTGCCTCAGCCTCCCAAGTAGCTGGGACTACAGGCACACACCACCACACCCAGCTAATTTTTTTTTCTGTTTTAGTAAAGATGGAGTTTTGCCATGCCCAGGCTGGTCTCAAACTCCTGAGCTCAGGCAATCTGCCCGGCTTGGCCTCCCAAAGTGTTAGGATTACAAGCGTGAGCCACCGAGCCCAGCCTAAAATCAGTTTTGATGCATGATGCCCTAAGTAAGTGTAATTAGATTATCTCTTTCCTCAAATAATACTGCTCAACCATTTTTGTGTTTCTTATTTACCATATACATTATTTTCTACAGGAGGATCAAGTTCAGGGATATCAATTGTTTATATAGCTGTCTCTTTTTGAGGCATTCTGTACTGTTTCAATTATGTTACTCTAGATGGAATGTATTTAGATATTCTGTTTCCAGAAGCCATGTAAAGTATACTTGTGAAAATATTTAAAGATAATTATCTTTAATGTAGGTGAACGAATCTTGTTTGTGCTACTCAAATGACCAGATTCATCTGATTAATGCCCTCCTTCACCTGAAATTCAAAGGGTCCATTTTCCAATTTGCCTACAAGTGTTGTGGTATGTAAATAGAATGTGACTCTAATAATCATACAGAAAGCTAAAGGAAAATGTCAGAATCAGGCAGGTCAGCTGAGTTGGTGGCTCACTGTTTCCTGAAGTTTTTTATTCATTGAGTCCAGGGTAGAACTTGAGAATATTTATTTATTTATTTTTTAAAAAAACTCTCTGAGGTTTGCAAATCACTGGGCTGGTTTACAAATTAAAACTGCAGAGATAAACTACCTAAAAGCTATTTTCCACGTGTCACCAATTTTCAGGGTCCCTCACAAATAACCCAAATAGAGAATGTTAAATCTCCCTTATGAGGGTTAGAAGTGGATAACTGGCCAAGTCAGTAGAGACAGAATTTGAAGGATAAGTTTTCCAAATTCGAAACTTAGTGATGTTAAGTAACCATTTTATCCTTATTCATAGTTTCTGGAAATCAGGGTTTTCAGAGGGGCTTGGTTAGGCAATTTTTCTTCATGTAGTCTTAGGGCCTATCCACGTGGTCTGTCTGCACAGGCTTGTGGAGAGAGGGCTTCCTCACTTCATGGCGGCCTCAGGGCAGTTGTGCTGCTCACATGAAGCTCAGGGCTCTGAAGGAGTGGTTAAGAGAACCAGGCAGGAGCTGTGTTGCCTTCTATGACAGTTTCAAGAGTCACAAAAACCTGGCCAGATTCAAGGGAAGGGAGCGTAGAACCCCATCTCTCAATGGGAAGAATATCAAAGTCCCACTCTGAGATGTGGTTGTGGCCATCACTGGGAAATGCAGTCTGCCACAGTGGAGTCATCTGTTGCCCCCACATTCAGTGCACCAGAGCCGTTCTCTCAAATCTTTCTCGAATCTGTCCACTTCTCTATGTATCCCTGCCCACCAGTAGTCCAAGCCATCATCATCCCTAGCTTGGACCCCTTTGACTGCCTCCAAACCAGGGCCCCTGCCTCCACTTTTCTTTCTCTTCAATTCTTTCTCTTCTACAGCTAGAGTGATATTTCTATAAAACAAATTTAATTGTCCTCCCCATTGTTCTTAGAATAATAATAAAGCTGCCTTCAAAGCCCTGCGAGATCTAGATACTTTCTGCCTTCCAGACTTATCTTACCCCACTGTGCCCCTTGCTTTCCAACCTGCAACCCCATCGGTATTCTTTCACGTCCTACATCCACCACGTTCTTTCCACCTCAAGGCCTTTGTACCTCCCATTTCCTCTGCTTAAAATACTTTCCCAGCCCCTTTCCTACCTCTCCCCGCTCCCTCCTCCCTTTCATCTCTTTAACTCCTACTCCTCCTGAAGAATGAGTCTTTGCAGATATAAT